TACGCTGCGAAGATTAAAATCGCGCAAGAAGGAGAAGACATTAATAAGTACTTGGTACAGGCCTATATTAGCTCTCAGCTTAATACGAATTTGTTCATGAGAAAGTATGTATTTATTACAACTTGCACGTCACTTTAGAAATATTTGCTACTCCTTTACATTGTTTTAACTATTTGCTCCTCTTCATCTAGTTATGGAATTTTACTGGAAAAAGGAACATATTACATGATCACAGAATGGCCAGAGCTAGGAACGCTAAGTAAATATCTTGTCGAGAATACAGATATCTCATGGAGTAAAAGAATAAACATGGCAGCACGTTTGGCAAAAGCGCTTGCCATTTGTCATAGTAAATACATTCTGCATCATGACATACGCAGGTAGGGAGTATGAATGATACTATCAATGTTTTATCAGTCTTTACCATTCTGTTGATCCACATTACTTATTATACGAATTCCTGATTACAGTCACAACGTGACTGTATGCGAGAACAATGTTATCAAGTTAGGCAACTATCATCGTACCAGAAGCACAAAAGACATTACGACTTCAGTTGCTGAAGAGTCAGATGGTGTCAGATGGTTATGTCCCGAGAAGGTTGTGGACGGTAGGCGACCCTACTCGATGGCAGCCGATGTATACAGGTATGAGTATATTCAGTTCTGAAAATTCAATCAGTCTTTGAACGTAGTTATCACTGTCCAGTCTGGGATATTGGAATTGGTATCCTATATTTACGTAATTTTATTATACGAATTTACAGTTTCGGTATGCTTATGTGGGAAATATCTTCGCATAAAATTCCCTTTACGGATAAAACTGTTGGTGAAGTATATACTTTACTGAGAAATTCAGCCAAGTTCAAAGATAAAGACGCGCCGCGTCCCCCAATTATCGATGGTACACCCAAGAAATACGTGAAAATAATGAAGAGATGCTGGAGACAAAACCCAGGAAGTCGTCCAACAATGTCTTTCGTTGTAGAGAAACTGGAACGACTCGAGGAGATGTACAGGCAAAATTCACCCGATACAGATACTTATGGGACTTGCACTAGTAGTATGCAAGAATTCGAGCCGGAGCCAATAACGATCTATTCCGCACGCAAGTTACATGCTGAAAAGCGCCACTTAGAAGCCTTCAAACAGTTTAAAACGCTCGCTGACGACGAGAATCCCAACGCTGAAGCAAACTTCTACGTCGGCAGATACCTTATCGACGACAGAATCAATTATGAGAATGATCCTAATGTGGGGATAAGCTATTTAGAAGTAGCAGATCAGCTTGGATTCCATGATGCCCTCCAGTATCGTGCTCAAGAGAAAATGGCAGCAGCTACGGAACTGCGAAAAAGGTTTATAGAAGCGGGAAAACTTGATGATGCGAATCTAATTTTGGAAAGAATGAAGACAGAGTGTCTACCATTGTTTCGTAATGGTGCGGGTCGCGGCAATCTGCGTTGTATGAAAGATTTAGCTGATTATGGGGCAAAGCTAGGAGATAAACAGAGTTACGTGGACGGTCTTAGAATGTTGGATGACGTAATTGCAAAAACGAAAGATCCTAAGCAGAAAGCTAAAGCACAAGATTTTTTGGTGAAGTTGCAACAGCACAAAAACGTATTTATGGATTGAGAATGAAGACCGCGTGGTTGTATTTATGCGGAATGTTGGTTTAATTAACGAGCATTGTTATTTCTAATGTGAATAATTTAATTGATCGTTCTTCCGCACCAACAGTTATTATGTATTTCATGCCTTGCCGGCACTTGGACAAAGTTTTGTGATTCATATATATGGTAAATAATCGTATTAATATCGTGTATCTATATTTTATATTATAGCACCATTTTTGTATTTATTTTCAATTGCAAGTAAACAAATAAATATATTCGTGAACATAAGATTTGAAAGTCATGTTGACTCATTGATGAAGCTCTCACCACAGCATCTAAACATAGGGATGTATGGAACAAATGAACATTAACAACTTTTATGGAAGACTCCGCTTCTTTGTCATCTTACTTTTGGCAGTTCACAATTTCCAGTTCTCGCCCTGCTCAATTATAATCTAACATTGGAATTGGATTGTAGTTCTCTAAGCATAACCAAGATTAGCTGATGTAATTCAGGAGTTCATTATTAGAAAGCAATTCTTATTCGTAACCATGTTTAGAAAACTTAATTCTGAATGTTGCTTCCAGAAACCAGCTTTATAATCTGGTAACATCGCTTACAGTGTGTCTACGTATCGAAAATGAGATGTAATTTGACTTGGTTGTTTCGTTTCAAAGATAAGAGAAATGAATTATATCGTTATCTTCTTGTATTATGAAAAAAAACATCATGCAATTCATTAAATGATAATTTTGCTTTTGCATCCAAATTATTTTCAACTTCACCCCTTCTGACGATCAGTCATTATTCTGTTGCTCTCATTATTAGTGATTTTGTTTCAATGTTCCACTTCCGCATATACTGACGGCCCATCAACATCAATTGGCCTTCCAATTCTCCCATTCCTTCAATGTCTCATCGCTGATGTAGTCAAATCGCCATATATAAGCATCTTCTCCGGCCGCAATGACAGATCTAATAGGCAGGAGTGATGATGTAGAATGAGCTCCAGAAGCACAATAAAATAATGAACGACTTTGCTCGTTAGTCCGACAGCTCACTTGTAATCTCTCGAGAATAAACAGCATTTCACGGATTTCATTGACCGACGATGGTTTAGCTCTGCGATCAGTTTACCGGTTATCAAGTTAAATACCAAGACACTGCCGCTACTTGTTCCTACACAGAGATATCTTTCGTCAAGACTGAGAATAGGATAAAAATGAGTACAAGTTATGAAAGCTATAAGGTCAAATATATGAGTAGAGCGTTATCATTACCTCACATCGAACCGTGAATGTGAACTATTTTTCACATGAAACGTTCGAATCTTTGACATGCTTTCCGGATTCCAGTATTCAATCTTTCCGTTTGTCGACTTGGATAACACATTCCCATTTGCGAATCGGATGCAATCTAATGGGTAAAAGAGATGAATGCGATTACCAGACAGTATGAACTAACAAGAATAACGCAATAACGTACATATCACATCAGTATATGCTATGAGGAGGACCGGTATCTTATATAGATACAAGTCATTACAGCTATCAAATAATACAATGAACCAACATCTACTCACCGATCTGTCCGGTATGCATCTTTCTCGATATAATTTCACATGTTTGAGTATCAAATTCCTGAGGACGCTTCGGTGGCATCGTCAAGTCGGGCGTAGTCCAGTATCTTATATCGCCGTGGTAACTCCCAGTAATAAATGTCTCTCCTGATGGATGCCAACACTACCACAAAGAAAAAAAAGAAGAAAATTAAAGCTCCAATCGAGTAAAATTATTTATGAGGGCATTTGTTCATGTTAAATCGCATAACTCTTTATGTATACTCTTCCCATTACTTCATTTACCCAACAAGAAACAGAATAATCAACTAACCACAACCGAAGCTTTAGTCTCGAATATATACAAACAAGACTTATCATCTACACGCCATATCCGCACGCTTCCATCTCTCGATGCAGATAGCAAATGCTGATCATCTTTAGGATACTTCTGGATGTCTGTTATCGTATCTGTATAGAAATAGGCGACTCTGGAAGAATTGTCTCAAATCCTCGTAATCAAGATAAAAAGAAATGGGGCGAAGAAATTATCGTTACCAGTGTGACCAGTAAGTGTCTTGATCGTTCGAGATAGGGCAAGACTGAGGATGTATATTGAGGCTGATTTACCAGCAATAGCTAGTAGAGCATCATCTTGTCTGCAGAGCCAGCAGCATGTTAATAGTTCCTGAATTAGCAAAAGATTGGTTAAATGAGTGCTGTTATATAAAGAAATAGTAATGCATTTGAAAGAAAATAAACTTGTCACCTCTTCAGGTTTTTTGTTCAAAGCAAAGTTGGACATTATGTCGAGATGATCTCCCATGTGCTCATTGTCATATATGTTAGCCTACAAACAGAGCACAATTAGCCAACAATAATTAACCAAGGGCAAAAAGCCGAGCCTAAATCCACTGCTGAATCCTGATCATTACTCGTTTTGATTAGCAACCTCCGCCTATCCCTGTCCATTATTTCATATTTAAAGTTACTCCAACTGACCTGCACGTCTCCCACGCTAGCCAATATATTACTTGTGTCCGCGATGTCTCTCTCAACATGCCCACTTTTATCATACGACTTTATATACTCAACCCCAACGGGTGCCTCGTAGTTGCCCAAATTAAAGAAAAAACTCAACGCGTTTATATCGTGTCCATGATTCTCTTTTACAATTCTTCTCAATTTGAAATTACGAAAGATATGATCATGAACTGTGGCATCTTCCTTGTTCGCGTTTGCAGCTGTTCTTGATTTGTTACCCGTAGAAGACGCTTCCGGGCACTTGCTAATCTGATTATTTATTTGAGTACGTAGCGTTCTATCGACGTGAGGACCGCTAGTGTCTTCGAGGAATTTTCGGCGTTTAAGGCGACGAATGGCGAGTGGCTCACTTTCGGAATCGAGAGAAGTTACTGGGGAGGAAGGTGCAGACGTAACTTTCTGGGTAACAGAAGCTTTGAATTTAGAGTCCTTGCGTTTTGGCATTATTTCTTTTCTGGTTTGACTTTTTTGCGCGAATGTCTTAATTTTATAGTTGAATGCGCGTCCTTATAACCGGTCACATGAATTCTGATGATGATAATCTGATAATTAGTGAAAACTTTATTCTGTTGTAGTACGCAGCAAATGAATAAAAGTCCCTCGCGATAGTAGTACGCAGCAAAAGTATTTAACATAAGCTCAAGACAATTTTTATGTTCACGCATCCAAACCAAAACAGTTTTGTTTAGATGTCGTTTATCACTTAATCTACTTCATTATTATTAGTATTTGTTATTTATCATTCATTCGATCGTAACCACGTTTTGAATACCATACATTGTCCATAATGTCGAGAAGTAATCTTGGGGCTAGAATTGAATTGATTTCTACTTCGGCGAGGGCAGTGCGGTTTCCAACCGTGTCTGATATATTGAACCTTACTGACCGCATCATTAAGCTTATTGATGCGGCGAAATATAATAAAGAAACATTGCCTATCATGAAGTTATATGTGATGGAAGTAAAGGCAGCCATTCATGAGAACAAGGATATTATTGATGAGGAATATACACTAGATTTACTGAAAGCACTGGAGGATTGGGAAAGGTTTCTCGAGCAATATACTAAACCTAAAATGAAAACTTTGTTGAGATTTCAGAATGATGAGCAAGCTCGGGAAGCACAATAAAATAATGAACAGCTTTCCTCGTTAGTCTGACAGCTCACTTGTAATCTCCCGAGAATTAACAGCATCTCACGGATTTCATTGACTGACTCTGCTTGTTCCTACACAGTTATCTTTCGTTGAGACTGAGAATAGGAATAAAAATACATAAATTATGAATTTTGACACGCTTTTCGGGTTCCAGTATTCAATCTTTCCGTTTGTTGACTTGGATAACACACTCCCATTTGCAACTCGGATGCAATCTAACGGGTAAAAGAGATGGATGCGATTACCAGACAGTATGAACTAATGAGAATGACGCAATAACGCACATGTCACATGAGTATATGCTATGAGTAGGACCGGCATCTTATACAAATACAAGTCATTACAGCTATCAAATAATACAATGAACTCACCGATCTGTCCAGTATGTCAAGTCGGGCGGAGTCCAGTATCTTATATCGCCGTGATAACTCCCAGTAATAAATGTCTCTCCTGATGGATGCCAACACTACCACAAAGAGAAAAAAAAAAGAAAAAGAAAATTAAAGCTCCAATCGGCATTTGTTCATGTTCAATCATTATGTATACTCTTCTCCTTCATTACCCTACAAGAAACAGAGTAATAAACTAACCACAACCGAAGCTTTAATCTGCACGCTCCCATCTCTCGAAGCAGATAGCAAATGCTGATCATCTTTAAGATACTTCTGGATATTTGTTATCGTATCTGTATAGACTCTAGAAGAATTGTCTCAAATCCTCGTAATCAAGATAAAAAGAAAAGGGGCAAAGAAATTATCGTTACTAGTGTGACCAGTGAGTGTCTTGATCGTTCGAGATAAGGCAAGACTGAGGATATACACTACCCTACCATAAATCACCGGATTTTTTGTCACGTGTTTGAAATAGATATGAAATTTTTGTATTTTCTA